GGGGGGGGGGGGGGTTGGAGGCCAGCTGCTGGGTTGTGAGCTTCCTGTGGGCACGGCACCTCCATGAAGTGGGGAAGCCTGGACCTCGGAGCCCTCAGGGAGTGTGGTCCCGGCGGGGCCGCCCCCTCCCCCGGGGAGCTCGATCTCTCCTGAGAGCACTTCTGTGGCTCAGGACGCCGTGGAGCTCGTGATGGACGAGCTGCACCTCTGAGTGACCTCACAGTTCTCTGACTGTCCGTGGAGGAGTCTGAAGTCACGGACAGTCACATCCGGTCAATGGGGCGGGGGGTGCACTGACCAGAGTTTGCGTGTGAAGTGCGAAGACTTTAGTGTCAGTTCCAAAGGGGCCCAGACGCTCTGGGCTGGCAGAACTGGCCTCCATGTGGCTGCAGAAAGCAGTCCTGGGAGCAGGTCGAGGTGGGTCTTTGGAAGCTGTTGCTGACCTCACTCCGCATCATAAGATGCGGGAGCCAGTCCATCATGGGAGCCCACAGGCGAGGAGGACTGCTCAGCACATCAGAGGGTCCTGGGTTCCTCCATGGGGGGCGGGCACTCGTCTCTCCTCCCCCCACTCACCTGGCTCCAGGGCACCTCGCTTTCCCATCGATTCCTTTATCATTTTAAACCTGTTCGTTCTTGCGAAACAGCCCCCGTTCTTACAGGAGACAGCCCTGAGCACGGTGCCTCTCCGGCACACAGAGGCAGCAGCTGGAAGGCGGTCCTTCCTGGATATGGCTGCAATTTAGACCCCTGGAGCGTTCAGAACTCCTGCACCCAGGTTGCACCCATGACAACAGAATCAGCATGGCTGGGGTGGGAGCCAGACCGCAGGAGTTTGTCAGAAATCCCCGGTGATTCAAACACACAGCTTAGTGAGAACTACTGTAAGGAGAGGGGACGTGGCCAGCCATCTGCCTACTCTGGGCCTCGTTTTTCTCATCTGTAAAATGGGACAGTAATAGCAACAACAGTCTGATAAGGGCAGCATCAAGAATGAAGGGGCCTGCGGGCGCGGCTCAGTGGTTGAGCGTTGATATATGAACCAGGAGGTCATGGTTTGATTCCCGGTCAGTGCACATGCCTAGTGCGGGCTCGATCCCCATTAGGGGGCAGCAGAGGCAGCTGATCCATGATCCTCTCTCATCACTGATGTTTCTATCTCCCCCTCTTCCTTCCTCTCTCAAATCAGTAAAATTATATATTTTTTTAAAAAGGATGAAAGGGATGGTGTGTGAAAGTCTGTGTCAGGTGTGAAGTGTGCTATGACTGCTTGCTGTTCACACTGGACATTGTTTTATAGGAAGATACTCGTGTTCCAGGTGGCCTGGCAAGGTAGGAGGGTGACTCTTGTGGCGCTGGTTCTCTCATGGCCAGCAGTAAGCCTGAGAGCTGTCCAGGATGAGAAATTCTTTCTCCTCTCTAATAAAGGGGGGGTCGAGAGGGGTCTCCCCAGATTTAAGAAGAAGCCAGCAGCGAGAGCCCAGCAGAGTGTAGTCCCTGTGCCATGACCGTCTCAGAGAGGAGGGACTTGCTGAGTGGAGGGAGGCCGGGGATCCACACTCTGCACCCGCCTTTCTCCCTCAGGCCCTCGTCAGCTGCGCGTCCTTCATGTCAGAGAGGGGGGCGTGGGGGGGCTGCCCTTGAGCCGCTGACCCGGCCCGGCGGAGGGGCGAGGGGAGGCCTGCTCGGTCCCATTCGTCAGCATGACTGGCGCCTCGCGTAGTGAGCATCACAGCACCTCTTTTGGGTGCAAACAGCAGCTTTCCTCTCTGGCTTGTCCTCCAGGGACTTGAAGTCGGACGGAGGGAGACAGTCAGCAGGTGCCGTGAGCCTGAAAGAGGTCGTTGGCCTGGAAGGCGTGGAGCTGGGCGCTGACGGGAAGGTAAGGCTGCCCGGCTCCCGTTGGCGAGTCTGTGCCCAAGCCACAGGGTCAGGAAGCAGAAGAGGGGGCAGGCTACGCACCTTGGTCGAGGGGTGGGGGGCACCTTCCTGGGCTCCCAGCGGGCAGGCGAAGTCCATCGAGGCCGCGATTACATAGCAACACAAGGTTTCCCTGCCTGCATGTGCACACATGTCCACATGCATGCTCTGGGGTGCAGGGATGTGGGTAGTGTGAACAGCAGTAACGGATGGTGCCCGCAAGCCGCCTCCCCACGACTAGACGGGGGTGTCGGCCTCCGACGGAGACCCCAGGCACCAGGGCTGCCACGCCTCTTCCACACGCAACTCACCAGGCTGCGGGGTGACCTCTAGGGTGTGAAGGGTGAATCCAGTCTTTCATGAGCCCCCAAAGCCTGTTGGGGGAGACCGTGCAGGGTGTCCTTGGGGAGACCGTCCCAGTCGTTTGCATGCACAGGACCCCCCGGCACAGCTCCCCCAGGGCCTGAGCCGTGGTCCCCAGGCCGGTGGAGAGAAAGATACATGTGCTGCTTTCTCTTCTGAAGGCTGAGTGTCCACCCAGGAATTGGGGGGGGGGGGGGGTTGCGGGGAGGGACAGAGCGGAGGTGAGCCCCGTGGATGGATCTGCCGCAGGGCACGGGGTCACGTCCCTCGTCAGGGACTCCAGCCGTCGGGGCCTGGAACGCTGCGGGTGCTGGTTCATGGAAAGTAGTGCCAGTCTGTGCCTCACGCAGCCACACCATCCCACAGCGTCTAGGACAGTGATGGCGAACCTATGACACGCGAACTCATTTTTTTGGTTGATTTTTCTTTGTTAAATGGCATTTAAATATATAAAATAAATATCAAAAATATAAATCTTTGTGTTACGATGGTTGCAAATATCAAAAAATTTCTATATGCGACCCGGCACCAGAGTTAAGTTAGGGTTTTCCAAAATGCTGGCACGCCGAGCTCAAAAGGTTCGCCATCACTGGTCTAGGACAACACGTTGTTATCAAACACACATCGGCCGCGTCACCTGAGCGTTCTCACCAGGGGGGTCAGGGACAGCCACAGGCAGCGGTTCTGGCACAGATTTGGCCGGAATAGAAGTCACCTTCCAGGTCCCTGATGTCAGTCGCAGTGGGAGACGTGCAGCGTCGCTGGGTCGGGCGCAGCCTCACGCTGCCCGGGGATGTCCCTCACCTGCCCTTTGTCTTCCTTCCAGACGGTGTCGTACACCCAGTTCCTGTGGCCCACAAACGCCTTGGGAGCCCGGAGGGGCACCATCGACTCCACCTCCTCCTTCTCCCACTTCCGCACCCTGAGCCACCGCAGCCTCTCCATAGGGCGGGCCAGCAGCACCCAGGGGAGCCTGGACACAGGTCTGGGGGCTGCGGCAGGAGGCGTCTGGGGTACAGTGTGGGTGGGTCTCCTCTGTGCAGACGGGAGGGCCGGGTCCCTGAGTGTGAGCTCATCCCACAGGCGACGTGATTGGGCGAGAGGGTTTCAGCCTCACAACCGGCCAGAGGGTGGCCTCTCCAATGAGATGCCTCCGCCCAGCCCCTGAGCGCCCCCGGGGAAACCCCACGCCTCGTGCAGAGGGGGCTGGGCAGGATCCGGCTTCTCGCCACCTCTCTGCGCCTCAGTTACCTCCCTGTTACCTGCTTCTTGCCTACACTTTTCAGTGCTCAAGTTGGGCTTTTCTTCAAATAATTGGGCCAGAAGCCCAGGATCCGGTGTGAGAACACCCCTTGTGGTTCTCCTCGTGGGAGCGGATGGGCTGCGGAAGGAGGCTGGGTGCTTCCTGCTCGGCCTGAGCGGCCCTCTGGGGCTGACGGGAGCTCTCGGTGAGCAGTGCCTCTGCTCGGAGATCCCAGGCGATCGGAGGGCTCAGCCTGTCCAGGTGCTGAGTCGGAAACACTGTCCGTGCTCCCGCCACGCTGGTCCCCAAGTGCATGGGCCTGCTTTGATCCGTGTTTATGTGGGCACAGTAGTCTGCCCAGGAGGGTTCACCCCAAAACGTGCTTCTCACGGGGCCCAGCTGCCAATGACCTGCAGGGTTAGAAACGAGCCTTTCGGCGCCACGTGTTCTGATCCGAGTGTCCCTGTGCTGTTCATGCTCCGGGGTCCTGTGCTCTCGGGTCAGGGAGATTCACACGTCATCGTCATGTGAAGAATCTGGTGCCCCTGTCGGAGAGGACACGCCTCCTTGGCTGCAGAGACCGTGACTACATGTCAGGCAGGCAGGCGACCGAGCTGGTGCCCTGACCAGCCCTCAGTCCCCCGCACGGGCGTTCACCTCTGCGCTGCCCGGAGGCCTGGCCCTGACTGTCCCTCTGCCTGCGGCCCTTAGGCAGCGACCTGGGAGACTTTGTGGACTACGACCCGAACCTCCTGGACGACCCCCAGTGGCCTTGTGGGAAGCACAAGCGGGTCCTCATCTTCCCTTCGTACATGGTGAGTAGCGTGGAGGCGGCAGGCAGGCCTTCCCTCGGCTGCGCTGCCCAGAACGGGGCCCCTTCAGACCCTGCTCAGCCTGGAGACCCTCCAGGTGCTGTGCTGACGGGAGACCAGAACGTGTCCGGTCCAGGGTTCTGCTGGTCACTGGCCTGCACACATCACATTAGCTACCGGCTCACTCGCCAAGCGTGGCATCTGTAGACCCACTGGGAGAGGGTGGGCCACCGGCCGCGCTGAGGTCAAGCCGGCTGGTGGAGTCCTCGCAAGGGTGGGTCTGCAGTGCCCACTGAGCAAACACGTGGCCCGGGCTCAGGGCGACCGAGAAAGTGACGCAGGACAGTGTGGGTGTCACACGCAAGCTGTTTCTCGGGCTTTTCCTGTTTTCCTCTGTGAGTCTGGTTTCGGCTCCTGGCTGACCACCTCCCACCGCTCTGCTCCTGGCGGCCATTCCCCGAGATCAGAGGGTCTGGCAGGGCCCGGGTACTTTCCTGGGGAGACGCGCCAACTGGGAGGCAGGCCGAGCCCGGGATGCCGTGGGGAGAGGCGCGAGGGCTTTCGGGAAACCGCTGCCCCTGGGCTGCACACAGGAATCGGTGGGAGAGCACGGCCAGAGCGCCCTGTCGCCTCCCTGCCGGCCGGGGGG